TTATATTAATAAGCATAGTTTATTGGACAAACTAGAGTAAAAGTCATGTTATTTGTAATACCCCAAGAGGTATAAAAAGACTTGGTTTTAGACCAAGTCAAAAAAAATCATGTTCATAACAATCTTTTAATTATTGATCTAATAATTAATACTTCCTAACACACTGTAATAATAATATTATTATCGCTAATAAAACACATAACATATTTTACCCTAAAAAGAATAATCTCTAAATAATTAATAAACTACAAAGGGTAAACCTTTGTGGTACTTAGCAAGTAACCAACATTCTAATCATTGAGAAACATCTCAAGGGAACGCCTTTGGGATATAATTATATCTATAGAACCTAGGGACCCTTTTATCCAAGAGGATAAAAGTTATATTTTTATTAATTTTGACCATAAGTCAGTGAGTAGGCTGTGTGTCATATATATTTAAATAAAGGAAATTGACTGTAAGTCAGTGAGTAGGCTGTGTGTCAAACAATAGAATCAACTGTAAGTCAGTGAGGAGGCTGTGTGTTGAACTATAAATAACCTATTAATTAGGAAACTCGGATTGCACACTTGCAGTATCCATTATGTTGTTTTTATTTAAAAAAAACAGAAAAATTTTTTTAATATATATTCAATTTAAAATTTTTAAAAAATAGAAGGGTTACTTTGAAAAGTTAAGTTTTAAATTTTTATGTTGCGTAATTATGCTTAATCACGTGAGAGGGATGGTCATATTCCAAAAATTCTAAAAATTATTGTTTATTATCGCCACCAGGGCTGGAAATAGTACTTTAAAAATCTGGATTTTCCTTTTAAAATTTTTAACTTCCGGAAAAAAAAAGAGTTGCCAGATATTTTTCCTTTTTCTTTTTTTTTTTTTTTTGTAGATTTTCCATATGCATAAAAAAAAATTACCAAAATTTAATATATATATATATATATATATATATATATGTCATTACTTCAATATTTTAGAAAAGAACAGCCAGAATCACAATTTTTATCTTTTGAATTTTCAG